TGAATTATAGAATCCATGTGCTTGGGAATAGAAGTGTCTGGATACAAGGCTGGAGACAATTGTCAGTTAAAAGGCTGAAAGTTCTGTGTTCGTGGATAGTTCTAACATGCCTTTTTATAAACAGATGGATGGTATTACTAGGGCATATAGCCATAGATAAAGAAATCTGTCGTCCATGTTTGCAGATGGTTGTGATGGTGATGGTGGAGACACTAAGCAAAATGAGATTGAGGCTCGTAAATGATGTGCCTTCACTTTTACTTTTAAAATTTATTCTTTTAATTTAAAAATAAAAAATAAAAGTTCTGCATATGCATATGCATCATACAATCTTAAAATATGTATATATTATGGAATGGTGAAGTCAAGCTAATTAATATATATATTATATGTATTAGTTAATATATATTAATATGTGTATTGCCTCACATGCTTATCATTTTGGGGGTGTGAAAACACTTAAATCTACTCTCAGTGATTTTCAAGAATATAATACATTGCTATTAAATATTAACTAGAATTATTAACTAAATAAATATTAACTAAATATTAACGGTGCTTTTAATCTTCATTGATATGGTGAAGCCACAGTGTCATCGTGGAGGATTCATTTTTTTCCTCAGCCTGTTAATTTGTAAATAGTGTGGATAATTTGTAATAGGTGTAGAATTCTGGTGATCAGCATTTCTATAGAACCGACAATTTTGGAAACTTTTAATACACCTTTTATCCCTTAAAATGCTAACATGTTTCCTGTGATAAACTGCTAACAAGAGCGGGTGTACATCCCTCACTTTAGAAAGTATGCTCTGCCCCTGTCTGACTTCTTCATTCAATAGTATGTAAAAGAACCTCTTCCAACTTTTCTGTGGCTCTTGTTAGAAATAAGGAGGTTGTAAGAACATAGGAAGTTTTAAGCGAATCCAGTCACCACAGATCAGTGTTTGCTATTGGTGCATGAGGTAAGGTCATATTGCTATTTCAATCCAGGATACTATGTGGCCAGCAGCATGTAGGTGACCATGGAGTAGTATATCCGGAGGACAGGAGGTGCTCACTGTTCCCTGATTGGATATGGTTTTTTCCAGGTCCTTGGGCTCTCACTCACCCAGTAATGGGTAGGAGACCCTGGTGGTGTGGTGATACTGTTCAAGTAAATATCAGATCCAGAGAGTTTTGCAGAAAAGCGATTTATTAGGCTGAGAGAGAAAGAAAGAGAAGTAGTGGGAGAGAGAGAGAGGACTCCCACACTGTCGTGGGAGGGGATCCAGAGATGGAGTCTCCACAGGTAAGGGGAAGGGGGACTTTTAATCTGGGAGTTACTCCCACCCCATTCAAGTCCTTGTCCCATGAGAGGAGTTCCCTCGAACTTCTGCTGGAGTGATTGATGTTTGACTTTGACATCAGATTGGCTGTCGGGCCCACAACAGAACTCTTCTTTCCAGGGCTTTTTGTGGGCTTTTCTAAACAAAGGAAGCTCACTTGGACAGTCTACCTTTCCTGTGCATGTGTAAGTTAGACAGAGAACTCTAGGCTTCCGGATGGAGATGTGAAAGAAGGCAGGTAGGGCATGTCGCTGGGAAGTTCTTGCCCTTGAAACCCCGCCCCTTGTGGACCCGGGAAGAAAAGTTAATACGGTCCCTCAGTAGGACCTGGCCCTCTAAGAGTACACGGCTTGCTTAGGGAGAGGAACCACAAGTGTTTGAAGTAAGGGTATGAGGCCCAGGCTTAGATGCTCTTGAACATCAGTGAATGTTGCAAGACAGCCTCTGTCTTTAGTTCGATTCCTTGTAGTATGAAGACTTCGGGAGTCTGGAAAAGTTGGAGAACATTAAAATGAAATTATTTAAAGGACAAAGTCCAAAGTCTACCATAAGCTCTAGGGTGTGATGAAATGTTTTTAAAGGGATCGTGAGTCTTCGAATCAGGACAAAAAATGAAAAATAAATTGCAGGGCTGCAGCGGACCATTTTTAGCTTTGACTAATTGTGGAAAGAGTAGTAAAGCCAGTGACAACAGAGCAAATTTGGAAAAATGATCTATTTCGAGAAAGCCCTGTTGGGAGTGTGATTTGATGTGAAGAAGGAAATGGGATCTGGAGCATTGCACTCTGCTTATAGGTTTTCTGCTCATACTGTGCTTAAAACATTTGCAGCCCTCACAGTTCACTGCCTCAATTTTCCCAGATTTAAAATAATATTCCCTTCTTGGGTTGTGATTTTGATTAAAAACCCTGGCTTATGGACTAATAGCTCATGTCTCTATATGTGTGATGTGTGATAAATTATATTCCCCCCCCACCCCGCCTTTTCTCTATACTTTCTCCTTGATTTCCTTCTCTTTCTTCCACATTTGTTTCATGTCTTTCATGGTTTTGTTGAAAATATGTAAGAAAATTACCTCATTCCTATTTAGGAATTATCTTCTTTCCTCTGCTTGTTTTTTTACCCTCTGTTAATCTGTGATATAGCAGTCTTCCCCAGAGTAATTAATTGTAATTCTACAAGCTGAAAAAATTTAACTTCAGGTGAAAAGTAGCAGAAGCTGATGAACCTTAAATGAGAAATATTTGTATTTTATGCAGCTGCCACTCATAATTAAGAGGAAATATCTAAGTAGAACGGATCCTAACTTGCTTGATTGCTTTGTAGAGTGGGCATCCATGCTTAGTACATTTACTAGGACTACTAAATAGTAGCTGTTATGGAACATTTTGTTCAATGTCTATGGCACATTGCCACCTTGTGGCTGCAAGTTTGTCTTGTAATGTAAAAGCAAATTTTTAATGTTAAGTCTACCTGATATAATCTTATGTTACATTTTTTCCTAGTGTTTATACTTTACCTTGCTCACAAAAGATTTGAGACCCCTTATAAGAGTACATAGGCTATGGCATAGGAGAACTTAAGAGAATACTCTTGTTCTCAGAAGAGGCATGTTGAAGTATTTGGGGGTGAAGAATCACACTACCTGCAACCAAGTCAACCGTTCATGTGTGAAGAAAAGGAGAGGGAGCAAAAGCAGTGTGGCAGAAGGTTTACAACTCTCCATTGAGAATATAGGTGTTTACTGTGCTGTTCCTGTAACTTTCCTGTAGTTGCCAATGTTTTTCTGAAAAGCTTCTAAGTTGAGAATTGGCAGAAAAAATAATTGGGGTGAAAGCACAAAATAGAGCCAAGAAAGAGGCAAAAAATAACCTCTACGTTCTGTAATGATCTGACTCCAGATTGAACCCAGCTATTTGGTTCTGTTTTTTCTAGAGACTAGACTGAAACTTCTCCTTGGAGGCTCTGCTAGGTAGGACACTGTAATGAACACCCACCCTCGACAAATTCCTTAGGATAAGTACAGCTCTGCATTTGAAAGGGTGTGTGTGTTTTTTTTCTTTTTTCCCAAGTGCACTCTGGAGTCCCTTTTTCTGTGGATCTGGCTTTGATCTTGGAGTGGATGGGCTGCCAGTTCTTCAAGGGCCTCTCACTGAAGTACTGACCTGCAGTGGGTGTGGGATGGTACTTAGAGAGTAGTGCTTGAAATCCAGGTGTTAGGTGTTTCTAATGAAGACAACTGTGCTGAAGGGAATCTTTTAGTAGCTGAACCCATGAAGTCTGTTCTATCTCAGCCAACCTGGGAAGGGTTGCTCATAAACAGGATCAAATTTCTTTTTGTGCAGTAGTTTTTATTTTGTTTACTTCTATTTATTTAATTATTTTTTATTATTTATTTTTTGAGACAGCGTCTTGCTCTGTTGCTCAGGCTGGAGTGCAGTGCTGCAATCATGGCTCACCATAGCCTTGACTTCCTGGGCTCAACAGAGTCTCCTGCCTCGGCTTCTCAAAATGCTGGGATTATAAACATGAGCCACTGCACCCGGCCTGTGCAGTGGCTTTGAATATGATGCAGTGCATAGACAGACGAATGGATAACTTAGTCTCCAGATTTCTATTTCTGATAAATACATCCATGATAATCTTAACCTGAAAAAAATTTAGACAAGTATAACCAGGTGACAACCTCTTTTCCCCATGAAAACAAAACAAATCTCAGTGAAACAGCTTTTAAAATGCCCAGCTTTGAGTAATGTTACTTGGCTTTTCTGTTTTTTAATTTCTACAAAGTTAACCTTTTTTCTGTACTTTTTTTGAGAGATCTTTGATAACTAACTGGACGTACACATGTGCACGTGAATATTTTTGTCCTTTGTAACTATCTAGACACATATTCATATGTACTTACTTGAAGGTGAACATTTTAGAAGGTATGGCTCTATTAAGTATGAGAAGCTTTATTATAAAAACAGGCAGATCTTGAAATAAGTGTTGTGACACAAGGGATTCTTTTGTAGAAAGCTTTCTCTTGAAGTGACTTTGATTTCTCTGATTCTTGTGACAGATTTTCTTTTAAAAAGCTATAAGGTGATATAGGGATGTATTGATTTCCATTAAGGACTAGGGTGCTTAGAAATTTCTCTCCCGTACAGCACATATTTGTGAGCAATATGTGAATTTTCTTTTGTGACCAACTAAAGAGAATGATCTATTGCTTCTCTATAGAGCAACAATCTTCAATGTTGGGGGAGACCAAGTACAGAAAGACCTATTTTATATAGTGACCTAGGATATACACACGTACACGTATAACTGAATAAAAGATTTCATGAAACAATACTTTCCCTTTCTTCATTGGACTCTGATAATTTTTTTCTATTGCATTAAGAAATACCAGTCACAATCTACCAAACTTGACTTCATGACCCACTAATATGCTGTGACCCATAGTTTGAAAAACACTGCTGTCAAGATTTTTCAGCAATCCAGACTCTCTTTCAGATGGAAGGCGTGACAAAGAAATTCTGAATTCTCTAAGGTAGCCAAATGAAACACAGGATTGGGAGAATGGGGTTTGGAGAAGGAAAAGAAAGGAAGAAAGTGTGAACGATTGGTCTTTCATTCTAGGCTGTGTGGATGCCCTAGTCAGTGACGCTGTTCTTCCTCTTTCTGCAGCTTGACCACATATTATCCCCTCCACCCATGCCGTTTCGGAAATGCAGCAACCCAGATGTGGCTTCTGGCCCTGGAAAATCGCTGAAGTATAAAAGACAGCTGAGTGAGGATGGAAGACAGCTAAGGCGAGGGAGCCTGGGAGGAGCCTTGACTGGTGAGTCGTGGTGGCTGTGTTGAGAGAAGGAATTGCGTTTCTGGTACAGGGTCCTGCGTGGCCTCAGCATTCCACATGTAATCCGCCTGCTTAAGAATGGGCCTGGCTCTGCAGAACATTTCATAAAAATCTTATCCAATCTAGAAACCAGTTAAATTGATAATTTTACTAGTAAACTTTGCTGAAATATAATTTACATGCAATGACTTATCCCCAGTTTAAAGTGTACATTTGGATGGATTTTTGCAAATTTATACCTCGGTTTACTGCCTTGATCAGGATATAAAATGTTTCCTTTGTTATTCCTAGTCAAACCCACCCTCTACTCCCACCCTCAAAGCCAAATCCTTGGCCCTAGGCAGCCATAGATCTGTTGTCTGTCATTATAGATTAGATTGACCTTCACAAGGGGTTTATATTAATGGAAGTATAGAGAATCTACTCCTTTGTGTCTGGCTGCTTTTGCTCAGTGTGATGTTTTTAAGATTCACCCATGTTGCCGTGTGTATTAGTAGCATATGTTTAACTTTAAATGGATAGGTTCTAGTGTTCTATACTACTTTAGGATAACTATAGTTAACAATTATATGTACTTTCAAATAGCTAGAGGAAGGATATTGAATGTTCCCAACACAAAGAAATGATAAATGTTTGAGATGATGGATCTGCTAATTACCCTGATCTGATCACTATATATTATATGATGGAAAGAGCACTAGTACCTCATGAATGTGTATAAATTATTCTTTGTTAATAAAAATAAAATTAGAAAAGAAACTGCCAAATGGTTTTCTAAAATTGTACCATTTTACATTCATGACTGGTATGGATAAATGATCCAATGCTAGGAGTTCTTGCTAACCTGTGGTATTACCAGTTTTTAAAATTGTAGCCATTTTCAGTGGTATATAGATGTATCACATTATGGATTTATTTGTTTCCTTGGTGACTAGAGAATATAGAACATCTTTTCCTGTGCTTATTGGACAGTTTATTCGTATTTTGTGAAGTATTGGTTCAATTCTTTCACCCCTTTTAAAATTTCATTGTTAAAATCACGAAATTTTTAAATTCAGAAAACTCACAAATTATTTTTGACTCGCAAAACAGACAAAAAAGTTAAAGCATAGCTTTTAAAAAGTAACTCACCATTTAAAATTTTACGTTATTAAGTTTAGCTATAAGTCACTGAAAGCTGGATTTTTTTTATTTCATCAGAGTGCTTTTTTCCTCTACATATAAATATTTTTAGGGAACTTTATTTCTTAAAATTCCCAGAGTTGTTTTTTTACGTATGATGGTCTTGTCTACCAGTTTAAAAATGGCCTAGAAAATAAGTTGAATTACTCATTTTTTTTGAGAACTATGGATTTTTGACTTTTTGGAGATTAAATTTCTGGGAACAGAGTGCTTCTGCCACATGATTAGTGGAGTCTAGGATATCTGACCTAGTGTGCCACACTGCTCTAACAAAGGGCAAAACGACCTCAGGTCAAGGGGGAGAAATCAATAAAAAAAAAAAAATTGCTGCAGTTCAAGTTTAAGGCAAATCTTTTCCCTTGAGTTTACTGATGCTTTTCTAATGCTTGTTAGGATATTTTTCTTTGCTTTCCTTTTATAAGTGCAGACTATTTGCTTTTTAAAGTAGGAGATCCCAAAGATTATTCTAAATCTTATAGGTAAGAAAATTAAATCTCAAAGGTTAAAAGACTAATCCTCTGATTAATTTCACTTAGGAAATTTACTTACCTTGATTTAACGATTTTTGACAGGAGAGGCAGTAATTGTTCTATTTACTTTTGCTAAAGCAGTTTACATAAAGCTTTAAAATAATGCAAGGGTATGGCCGTTGATGCAGATATACGATCTCAAACGTGAAATTCGGCCTTTAGCTTTGAAAATAAATAGCTGGACTTGATTCTCTTGTAATTTTAACAGCTCTAGCAAGTCTATCCTTATACAGTTACTTTGCTACACAATTATTTTGGGGAACTAAATCTTTGGTCAGATAAGTTTTTAAATGCTTAATAGTCCTTAGAGAAGCTAAAAAAAAAAATCCATTGAACATCAGCCTGTTTTTGAAGACAGCTCCTTGAAAGTTATATTAGAATATAAAGAAAAATGACCATTTTAAATTGTTCCTCTAGATGCTTTAGCTGAAGATTTAATGAAAGAATATATACCAAGTAGTTAGTCCAATGATAGGAGCCATTAGTAGTATGTGCATAACTAATTGAATTTGGGGGGATTTGGAGTTGATGGGTACATGGGCTCACGGAAGTCAGTTTGGTATCCTTATCGACTGGATTGCTGCTTTGTGTTAGGCACATGTTCATGTCAGGCTAGTGTCAGATGTTGGAACTCAGAGAAGACGGCATCTTCCCTGAACTTTAAAAAACGTGTTTTCTACTAATTTTAGGTAACTGTAAATAATCACATGTGATCTCACCTTGGGACATAACCTGTTGCTAAACTTCAATTAAGTCATACTTGTTTTTCCATCAGAGACCCATGCCTGATCTAATCTGTTGCTTAATGAGCGACCGCTTTCTCATTGTTTTACTTTGTTTTAATACAAGGATCTTTTCTTTGGCAGTATTCTACTTCCCTTAAAACAAAGATTTTTAGTTTTTATAGTTGGACAATTTTGCCAACCGGTAATCCTTGATAAGTTTCACTAGACTTTTTTTTAGCTGTTTGAGAGGAAGATCTGTGATCAATTTATATATTTATTCCTAATAACGATAGCTAACATTAAAAGCTTACTGTGTAGCAGGCATTGTGTTTAGGGAATTATATTTATTGACTTATTTAATCCTTACAACATCTCTGTGTGTCTATGAGGGAGACACTGTTATCCCATTTTACACATGAGAACACTGAGGCACAGGCAGGTTGAGTAACTTCCTCGAGGTCACAGTGCTCACCACAGCAGAGCCAGGATTTGAACCCAGGCATCGTGGCTCCAGAGTGCTCACAACTGCCGCACTGTTCCTAGCATCATTAGTACCTAGTAAGTTTTAAATAAACTCTTAATTCTAGCAGTGTTAATTGCAGTGACTCTTATGTGGGAAAATTTCTTCTCTCAGTTGGAATTTATAGCTGACTCAATCTGAATGGCTCCCAGTTGTTTAATTATAAAAATAAAGTAAAACTAGGCAATTAGTACATATTTAAAACCTTAAAATTTACACATTGGTTAATACAGAAATTCGACTGCTCAGAATTCATCACAAGGAAATAGTTGTATGTCAAGAGAATTAACCTTAGTTATATCTAAAGCAGCAACATTTATAATAATTAAAATTTCATATTATCTAAATAGCTGACAAATGAATACTGATTAAACATATTATGGTATGCACAAAAAATGGAAAACAGTTGTGACATTTAAAAGTCATATTGTAAAAAAAAGTTTTGATATTGAAAGATACAATATATTAATATGAAATTCCACTGTTAAATGGCCTCATAGTGTCTCATGCTTCCTAAGACTTGCTGTATTTGTAATTAAATAATTGTATACAGATGGTTCCCCACTTACTATGGTTTGGCTTTTGACTTTTCAACTTTGTGGTGAGTTTAGTGGGGTATTAAATCCATTATTGACTTAGGCTTTCTTTTACTTCTGATGGTGGGTTTATCTAGATGTAACCCCACTGTAAGATGAGGAGCATCTGTCTTTAATGAGGAAGAAGAAAGCAATTACTTTCTGCTAAGGAATTTTCTCAAAATGCAGTGATGGTTGAGTAGGCTCTATTTAAAAATAGGCAAGTGAAGGATGCTATGGCATTTTTATACCCTGCAGCTTAATCCATGAGATAGTTTTTGAGCCCGAGTTTTTCGGTGGCATTTGGTGGTATGTCAGTCAGCAGCAGTCATGTTGCATAACTGCAAGCATCTCAATGGTAGACAACAGTAAGTATTTTTTTTTCTTGTTCACATGGCTACAGATCAGTTGGGGTTTGGTGTAGGTCACTCTGGGCCATATTAGGCTTGGTTCCAGGATGCAGTTTGGATCCAGATTTCCTCTATGTGTCTATCTTCTTCTTTAGACCAGCAGCTACCAAAGGCATCCTCTCCTGGTGAAAGACAGGAGCATGAGAGGGCAAGTTCTCCTGTACAGGCACATTTCAAGGTTCTGCTGGTGTCATGTCTGCTAATTTTATATTGGCTAAAGCAAAAAGCACAGTCAACCCTGGAGTCAAGGAGTAGATGCATACTTCATCTTGATACCTTGGCCAGGATGCAGGTAGTCATGTGCCACATAAAGTCATTTTGGTCAGTGATGGGCTGTATGTGTGACAATGGGCCCATAACATTATAATGAAACTGGAAAACTATTGCATGGTAATGTCTTCCTGATCCTGACTCAGTGTAGGCCTAGGCTAATGTGTTTGTGTCTTAGTTTTTAACAAAAAATGTTTAAAAGAAAAAATAGAAAAAAATCTTATAGAATAAGGATATAAAGAACAAAATATTTTTGCACTGCTCTACAATGTGTTTGTATTTTAAGGTAAGTGTTATTACAAGTCAGAAAGTTTAAGAAGTTTATAAAGTAAAACTTACAGTAGGCTAAGGTTAATTTATTATTGAAGAAAGAAAAATATTTTTTATAAATTCAGTGTAACCTAGGTGTACATTGTTTATAAAGTCTACAGTAATGTCCTAGGCCTTCACATTCAGTCACCACTCACTGACTCAACCATAGAAACTTCTAGTCCTGCAAACTCTATTCATGGCAAGTACCCTATACAGGTGTACCACTTTTTATGTTTTCTTTTATATTTTTAAGGTAGCTTCTCTGTGTTTAGACACGCACATACTGATCATTGTGTTACAGTCGCCTATAGTATTAAGTGCAGTTGCACACTGTACACATTTGCAGCCTAGGAGCAATAGGCTATACCCTGTAGTTTGGGTGCATAGTAGGCTACACCATCTAAGCTTGTATAAGTACACCCTATGATGTTTGCACAATGACAGAATTGCCTCAGGAA